TTCCTTCGGCAGAAGTCGTACAAAATATCTGCGAAGGTAGCAGTGCTGAGCAGCTGCAAAGTTGAAACGACAAATTAAATCTACATCCCAAGACGTCAAGAGAAGAAATTCAACTCTAACGAGGAAGGTGAAAGGAAAGTTGCCAAAGAAGAAAAGAAGACGACCAAAGGCCTACTGCCCAAGCAATAGATTTCTTCCAGAAGCTCTAACTTGATTCAATTGAGTCTTGACGAATCTTTAATGTTTCGTGACTGAGAGGATCGTAGATCCATAAAAGTTCAATCGCTGAAAATCCACTAGAAGGTTTGGCTTGAGACAGATAAACCCTACAGAGATTACCTACAAATAACTTCAAGCTCAACAGAAAAAAAGTGGGAAGCAATGCACCTACTTAAACCAAGTAGTGTGTGAAAGATTCCACAATCTCCAAGAAAAACAACTAAATATTCCGTTTTGATTACTTATGAATACCCAAACATTCTAGTTGAAAAATATGACAAAAATCTATAACTAAATACGTATATAGCTTATACGAATCTATACCTTTGAAGGGATGTAGATTTTGCATTAAACCCGTTCAACTTGACACGCCAGAGCGCGCTTTTGGAATGCACGTTACGAGAGCCTTATATCGATAAAATATATAAAACAAGAATTCAATAGAAGTGCGGAAATACAAAAAGCCGAAATTACAGTCAGTTGTGACGTTAATATCAATATTATAGAATTGCTATCACCGTATGAAAAAGAGACATTCTCTACTGGTGGCAAAAAGAAAGGTAGTTACGGAGGGGTCAGTAAAAGCTATCACCAGATCCACTCTCTAACGGGGCATTTATTGCGAAACCCGAAAAAAGAATCAAAAATAAAATTAGAAATGAAATCGAAGAACATAAATCTAATTAGTTAAGGTCGCGCGGAGCTCGCGTGAAGGCAACAGCTCGTGTCCAATAAAATACCGAGTTGCATTTTTCACACATGTTGCACAACAGCCCGTTCTGGTTTAATTTTTGATTTAATCGCACCCAACCAAGGACCTACAATTAACCTCTTGATTTTTGTGTAAATTATCAATCGATATTGATTATTTGGTTGAGTGATCAAAACTAGAATGACATTTGTTCTCCTTTCCAAAATGTGCAACAAAAAATCAAGTTCTTCTTTGAACTCAATCTCGTTTCTGCGGTCAACGTTTTTCTTCTGACATTTTGCGGTCAACTACTGCTATCATCGAGATTCGTGTGAACATGACATTTTATAATAAGTATACCTACCCGACGATTTTCTAAACTGATTTCAAATAAGTAAATTGTTTTGTCGGTTTTGCGGTTGACCGGATTAACTTGCCAACCGTCGAAAATTAACAAATTTTAATATGTATCCCTGTTTTTTAGGAGAAAATGTTACCAGATTGTGATTCCATACACCTTGACTCTACTATCCCATCAAAAGACCAATTATTATTACAAATTGTGACATGACAGGATATCGACGTGTCTAAACACATATTGGTGGGAAGGGGTGAAGGCGAATAACAACTAAAAAGGCCAACCCAAATGTTAACCTCTACTGCACGTGGTGCCCACTTTAACGAGGCTCTGACGATCGAGATACGGCGGAATAACCGTTCCACTGGGAATTGAAGAAATGTAATTCGCAAACTCGCCAATACACGCTCGGCAAGCAATGCCAGCTCCTTTCATAGATATGATATGTCGAAATTTGAAACATGCATAACCCAGGCGAGTAGAGGTGAAAATCCGGAATCTCTCACTGATACGTCAGTCAGCCCCGTGGATTCTGGGAGGGGCAAACTTTCGATAGATGGTAAGAAGGAAGAGGCAAGCTTGAATAAGAGACCTTTGACGTAGGGACGTACAATGAGGCTCGATGAACACCTCAGTGGCCTAGACAACGAATTGCAGAACATAAAGTGATATGTCATAGGAATCAGTGAAACAAAACTGAGCGGCAAATCTGGACATTTACTTTTCCAGAAGAACTCGGATACAGACTCACATATTTGGGGCGTTGTTGTACTGGTTCACAAAAAGAAGAAAGACCTGATTACAAAGACAAAAGCCGTGTCAAACAGAGTAATTTATGTAATGATCAGGATCAAGGCCATGTTTAGTATACAAATCATCCAAGCATATGCACCCACCTTCGCCTCCTCAGACGAAGAAATTTTAACATTCTACGAAGACTTCACAACTGCAAAGAACGCAGAAAAAACCAAAATCTGTGTGATAATCAGCGATTTCAAGGCGAAGGTTGAAGTCAGGTTACCGACGGATCCTCCCTTCATCGGTAAATTTGAGCTGGGAGCTAGGAACCAACGTTTAGAACTGCAATGGTATTCCAAAGGCCAATGTAAGGCAATATATAAAATACCACAGTAATTATTATTAAATGTAATTGGTAAAATTACCAAAAGGTAGCAAGGACCAATTTGTAATGGTCTTATGAGATAGGTACTCCAATAAATTCAAGATTTACCAATAAATGTTTGACCACCTTACCCCAATGAGAGTAAAAGATAAAGGAATAAAAAGATTAATAACATTAATTAAAACCTGTGCACGCTTATACCATGGTATACCGGGGCGGTTTTATACAAAAATGTCACCTTCAATATAGTACATTAATAATCATTGGTGCAGTACACCCATTGTAATAGTGAAGGCGGTAAAACAGACTTGGAAATGTACCAAGTTGAATATAAGAAATACAATTAATAATAATAGAGAAGAATAATTAAGAAATGTTAATAAATCAACGGGTACATCACCCCCTTGTGATCCTCCCTGCAGTCTAAACATTCATTTACATTACTGTCTCATAACAGCCGCACAGCCCTGATAACAGACCCCATCAACTTCTTTTGACTTCCCTTCTTAAATAGGGTAAATTACGGGTTCAGTTTCAGTGTTGTGGGTACTCTGACACCTCACCTTCGAAACGTTAGCAAAACGTCGAAAGAGGAAAACCCAATGTAAAGGTAAAACCTAAAATCCTAAAACCCTGGTTATAATTCGGGCTCTTAGTTGAACAAAACGTGCTCTCTTCTCGCATCGACAATTCAACAAAATGGCGTAGACTTTTGTCTCCAGAAAATTCTGAGTGGTTGGCTTACAAATACGGGGACTTACGACCAAATCCAAGTTTTCACCCCAAAACCAATTAAGCCAGCTACCACTTGAGTTCCCAACGCCTCTAAAATCCCACAAAAGGTGTTTGTTCCAAGGAACGTAGCAAAAAGAACCGCTGGTAAAATCTGCCAACTACTTGTTGCTTGCTCAACGTGCGCATTTAAAGAGAACGACCCTATTTTAGCCATTTATTAGGTGAGCTCATATGAAAAATTCCCCAGAATTCTATTTTTTTTTCTCCAAGATGCCCTCTGGTGCCAGATTTCCGGTCTTGACCAGGAAAACGAGACAATCAGCTTGAAACGAACAACCCAAACCACATCGATGACAAACAAAACTCAAAATTGTTACCGAATTTTCTACCCTAACACTAACTAATTAATTAATAATCATCATCTATTCAGTCTTTAGTACAAAAAACAACAAAATGAACAGTCGTTCAGTTGTAGCAACTACAGTGACTCTATTACCCACAGTGGTCAAGAAACCTCGGCAACAGCGCTGCCTGAAACGAATCAACAAGTGTCCCGAAAAAAAATAACCGGGAAAATGTAAATATTAGTGCAAATAAGGGTGAAAAAGCGATTTAAAGGGTGTGAAAGTGATTTGTGGTGTTGCAGAATTTTTAATAATGGAAAATACGAGACTCGTAAGTGTTGCCAATTGATATTTATTCGGAAGTAAACAAACCTTTTCATCAACAGTTAGGGCCTTTTAGACAACTTTCGTAAGCCAAATAAAATAGATTTCGATCCTACTAGTACAGGTATAAAGCTTCATAAATACCCTTACAAATACCTTAATTAATTACTGAATTTCTTTGAAACCTCCAATTACGTACTAAAGCAAAATTTGTACGTAACACAAGGAAAGGCTCTACTGCATGAATACCTTCTACAAAAAGCACCCGAAAAAAAATGGACGTGGAGGAGCCCCGATAACAGGGTCAAAAATGAGATAGACTATGTTCTCACATCAAACCCCCAATTATGCTCGGACGTATCAGTACCAAACCGCTTTGACACAGGCAGCGACCACAGGTGAATTGCGAGAGACGGGGGAAGAATTTAACAGGCAAATTGACAAGAAGCTACACCCAATTGAAGATATGCGAAACATGGAACTGAACGCACTCTCAACGAAAATCACCTCTAGTATTGGAAACGCAGTGCAAAAAGTCTGTTCTCTTCAAAGTAAGAAACATTCGAAATTCAGTTTAGAAACAGAACAACTTATCGAAGAACGAAGGAAAACTGACAAAAACTCATCAAGGTATGAGGACCTGAATAAGATCGTGAAGAAGGCCATCAGAAAAGATCAGAGAGCTTATAATACGAGGATGGTCGAGGAAGCTATACAGAGCAACGCAAACATGAAAGTTCTCCGTTCCGAGAGGTCTAAAGCCAAAATGATTAAAAGAGGAAAGATCGCAGAAATTATCGAGAATTTTTAACGACGACTCTACAGCCCATCGGTGGCATACCCAGGTCAAGAAGGTCAAATTTATCAGCCAGTCCTAAACATAGGATCAGAAGAACTAGAGTCAGCGCTAAAACACCTGAAGAACTGCAAAGCCCCGGGAGAGACCAGATCACCAGTAAAATGTTGAAGGTCGTAGGAGAGACATTCAGGAAAGCACTCCTGACCTTACTAAATAAATGTCTAGAAGACGAGAAAATCCGGGACTCTTGGAAGAACGCAGAAGTTATCCTATAATTCAAAAAAGGCGACTGCACAAATCTAGAGAATTTCAGGCCCATGAAAAGGCCTATGTCCACACAGGCTAAAGAAGAAACACATATTGGCAATTCTAAGATCAAGGCCTACTGTAATAAAAAAAAATCTTACCTGCGCATATTCGGCACAAATATCTATCCCACTAACAAAATTCGCCACATCATCAACGGACCAGCCACTAACGTCTTCGTGCAACTTTGGACTCTCGCTTTCGGGCCTTCTCGCCAAACTCGGCGGAGTTCCCGTACTTGCGTTACGAGGACTACCGATTGAAGGAGTTTTAATGCGCGCCCTTTTCGTAGGCGGCGCTGCTGACGATAAGTCCAACGGCGAAGAAGTGTCTTGTCGTTTCACGTTCTTTATCAACCCCTGTTTGAAACAAAAATATATATAAAGAGTTAATTTTTATTTGCACAAAATTCTTACTTGTAGCTCAGCTTCTTTGGCGGTTCGTACCATGGCCAAGAGAGCTTGCGTCGTTGACATGTCGATCAGAGGCGGAAACATTGCAGCGGCCGCTCCGGCAAAAGGACTCAGAACTGACGCGAAATCGGGTTTTTTCGTTGCCGCCTCTGAGTCTTTCGGTGTGGGAGCTACTGCTGGATTTGGCAACAGCGATTGGGGAAATGCCACCGATGATGTTGTGGACGGTTTGAATCTGGGATCCAGAGGAGGTGGGAAACCGTTCCGTGCGGCACTAAAATAACTAGAACCATTGGGTAAGATTTTGGTGCAAATCAATCAAAGTTTGTTCTTACTCGTTTGGATTTGCATGATTGTACTTAGCAGCTAAACTGCGCATAAAATCGCTATAATTTCTTCCTGTAATAGGTCCCAAGAGTGGATTTTCATTCGATGAAGGAGTGTCTGAATGGGAAGCTGAACTAGGAGTAACGCTACGAGATCTTGATGAGGTATCTGGAGTACTAGGACTAAGTCTGGAATTAAAAAATATTTCTTTTGGATGTTGCATCATGGTACAATAGTTGTCAAAAATTACCTTTCATTTTTAATATTATTGTTGTTATTGTGCAGGGCAAAATCTGTAACTGTTGAAGAGAGAATACCATTGTTGTTAGAGGAAGTTCGGTCCATGCGTTTCCTTCTTAGGGTTTTTGCAGCTGTTACTGGACTTTCCAGAGTTTCATTGGTTGTTGTAGTTTCACCTGAAAAAATAAATGTTTTTTGTAAATCGTTTTTTTACTAAATGCATGCAAATTACTCCATATCCGTTTATTAATTAGATAAAAACAATAAATCATGTGTATCCCTTTAAAAATTTGATACGGCCATAAAGGTAATAGTCAGCCATTGAAATTGTATACAATTTACGGCTTCTTTCACTTATACTTTTACCGCTCACTTCTTTGATAATTGACTGTTGTTTCATAAATCGTTAAATTCCCATTCAAAACATCGCTGACAGCCGCATAACACCCAGATTTACTATACTTACTTATCTGATTTACTATAATTGGAAATCAAAAAGCGAGTAATACTTAACTTAAAATTATAACGTAAATTGGATTTGCATATACAAAAGAAAGTGCTGATTTCCGCTAAAAATTTTCGCTATTAGTTCTCACAAACCGAGTGATGACGTCTACAATTTTTCCCAGCTCGTCGATCCCAGCATCATCATCATCTTGAAAAGGCCAACGGCAATCAAGAGGGTTTTTGTTGCGCGTGAATTACCGAAAGATGACTGTCATAAAAAGTATCCAACAAAAGACCGCTGGTCATCATTTGTTGCATCTTCAGCAGCCCATAACCCAGATGCCGCATGAAATTATGTTTTCTAGAAAATGATTGTCCTGTGACCCAGGTCAGATTTGTGGTCAGTATACCTATGAAGTAATTATTACTACACTCTTCTCTATGATTTGGTGGTTTGAGATTATCTTCTATATATATTGCATCTTTGTTGGATGTCAAAGATGAAACACTGAATTTTAATCGGCGAGTTTCTAATATTTTACTAGGTTATGATTATGATTATGGTATCTTTTTTGGAATATATATAGGAGGAATTCTGTTGGAGTTAACAATTCCAACAGACTAAGTTTTCTGAATACACTGTGTTCTAGTTAGGTTAAATTGGTATAGTGAATGCTGGAAGCTAGAGGACACCAAACTGGTTAATCCATGAAAGTTCATTCTTGGTTCTTGGTCTGTGTGGAAGAAGATAGATAGTCAAAAGGTTACGGGCCTAAATAGAGCTGACTGGAAAGGCTGAAAAAAAGTAAATTGGAAAACCTTGTACACAGAAGTGAAGAGTAACTCATCCAGTATCAAGAAAAGAAACAGGTATAAACAGTCACCTCAAATAGTACCCGAGTACAGATAAAATCATTTGATGGGAAAGAATTTTCCAATTGGCAGTGGCGGCTCGTGGTGTCCAAGTAAGTGTGGGCGACAAAAATAAAAAAACAGCCGTAAGCGAATTTTTTTAGATTTTCCAGGTCGCGGCCTTTTCAAATATTGTATCAAAAGCATTTTTTATTTTTCCATTCTTTCTCCAAGGTGACGGTGCCCACTTTGCCCATATAGGCAAACCGCCACTGTCCAAAGCCTCCTGACCTGATGAAACTAAAGTTTTCGTTACTCACCCCATTGAAAACTGGAAATTTTCGGCAGAAAATGACTCAATTTCGAAACCCCGCACTTCAAGACAACGTTTCCTACTGAAACAGTCCCGGAAAACTGGAAAACTCGAGGAAAAACCGGGACAAAAATAAAAACGCGTTACTCAAAATGGCCGATTGTCAAATGTCACTGTCAGGCTTTATAAATGACATTCCAAGGCCTACTTGATTGAAATCTGAGTGAAGTTGGCTACAAGCGGTGTTGCCATGTAGAAAAAAATCATTTTAAATGATTAATTTGATGAAAAAGCCGTTCAATATTTAATTAATAATGATTTTAACACTCAAAAGTCAAAATTCCCCGAAAATGGTCTCAAAATAGTAGTTTTCCTAATCAGTGCGCAAAGTTATGTTTTCCCGCACGCGAAAGCAGTTGGACAAACGACGTGAAGCGGAGTTCGGATAAGCTTTAAGTGCGGGAAAACTACTTTGCGCACGTGTTAGGAACAATATTTTTTCTACGAGTGAAATAACTATACTTCCTTTTTACATTTTAAATTTATATAGGCATCAAAAACAATTTATTGTAACTAACTAGGTATATCTAAATAGGCCAAAACAAATTTCGGCCTCTCTCCGCGGGGCTTTGCCCCCTAAAAAAGGGGGCCCGCGGGGCTGTGCCCCCCAAAAGTGAAAAATTCGAGGAAATCCAAAGAAGAACCAACGAAAATGACATTCCAAAGCCTACCTGATAAAACTAGAGTTTTCGTTACTCATCCCATTGAAAACTGGAAATTCTTGGCAAAAATAAATTACCCAATTCCAAAGCCCCGTACTTTGAAACAACGTTTCCTACTGGAAAAGTCTCGGAAAACTGGGAAATTCCAGAAAAAACCAGAACAAAAACAAAAACGCCTCACTCAAAATAGCCGAATGTCCAATGTCACTTTCAGGCTTTATAAATGACATTTCAAGGCCTACTTGATTGAAACTTGAGTGAAGTTGGCTACAAGCGGTGTTGCCATCTAGAAAAAAATCAATTTAAATGGGTAATTTAATGGGAAAGCCGTTTAATAATTAATTAATCATGATTTTAACACTCAAAATTCCCCTAAAAAGGCCTCGAAAAGTTGTTTTTTAATGAATTTTTCCACTTATCTTTCGCTCTTGATTTTAGCATTTAAAAGCTGGAATTTTTGGCAGAAAAAATGAAGAAAATCCAAAACCTACAACTCCAAACCACTTTTTCCGACTGATGAGGTCTTGGAAAAGCGGAAAATTCGAGGAAAACTAGATAAAAACTCTCAAAATGGCCGATTGTCAAAAGTGGCAAATGACATTTATTACAAAACGCCTACTGGATTTAAAATGTTTTTGCCACAATAACAATCTCAAATCGAATGTTTTTCCAGATTTTTCCTCATTTTCCGATGAATTTCCAGCCTGGAAAACTAACAAGTTTCCATTTTTAATATTAATTTGATTGTATTTTTGGACAAAACAGTCATTATAGTGAGTAAGACAAGGAATGAGATAAAATAGGACACAAAAGCAACAAATGTGATTATAAATTAGTAAGACAAAGAGAGAGATGAAGTAGGATACGAGTGGCAGAACGCAAATGCAAAGCCCCGCATCAGAACAACTTAAAAACCTCAGCGCCTGGAATAGACAAAAATTGAAACTTGACGTAAGCAGACGTTTAAAAGACTTCTTGCCAATTGGGAATTTTGAATGAAGTTGCTTCTCGCGCATGATAGAGTTTTGGAGATGCTGACAAAGGATCCGCCTGATGAGCAATCATCTGAGTATGTGAAGTTTTAAAAGGGTGATGTCAAGACTCGTAACTTTATAGTCAACAGTTTAGCTGATAATGGTGAAAGGTAAGGCTGCTGCCAAGGAAATGTTATTAGAATTAAGTGGAACATATACGAATTCTGGCATAGTCAACCAAGTATAGGTTTACAAAGAACACTTAGAACATTAAGATATAATGGAAAAAGTTCAAAAAACGATTTTCTTGTAGAGTATGAGCGAACAGTCTTAGAACTAAAGAATTGTGGTGGATCAATCCAAGAATCAGAGATTACTGCACAGTTATTATCTGCAATGCCTGATATGTATCAAAATGTGACTACAACAATATTGCAGGTATTGTCAAGAACCCAGTAAAGTGACTCTAGAATTCATTAAGAGTAGACTCTTGATGGAAGAAGAGAGATAAAATAAAAATAAGTATGAATCAAAATATCAGGGTGAAGGGTCAGAGGTGTTTCTAGGATATAAAGGAAACTTTAAGCCACATTTTAATCCAAGGGGACATAATTGGAAAGAGAAGGGAATGATGAGGAGATACAAAGAACAAGAAAAGAAAATTGTCAAGGACAAGATAAAGAGAAAAATGATTCAGAAAATCAAACAAAAATTGACAAATATGTAACACGAAGACGATCAATACGAGAAAGAAAACCTCTTAAGCACTTAGAAGAATGTAATATTGAACTAATGGCAGCACTATCAGTAGGCATATAATCACACGTAGCTGAAAATTATGATAAAGCTATTGAAGGAGAAGAAGGTTGGCAGAAAGCCATACAAGACGAATTGGACTCACTTGTACAGAATAAAATATGGGACATAGTTCATTCTTGGTTCTTGGTTTGTGTGGAAGAAGGTAGACAGTCAAAAATTCATCAAATTCTGAAGTTTGGATAAAAGATCATGAGAGAATGCCACATGTTTCAGCTTTCTGAAGCTGATCTTTCTGGACAGTCCGCGTCTAAATGATTCCTAGATCTTGCCTATTGGAAAGTTCATTAATAAATCAACACATTACGAAGGTATACAACTAATTTATGAAGCATTTGTGGTGTGTGGAAGGTGATTTGTAAATAATATGGTATGTCTGAGAGATTCAATATCAGCAGTGTGTTTCTCTCTCAAATAGAATACCTACTGAGCTGAGTTGCCTGTAGCATCTTTCAAGTTACGTAACATATAGAGTTCACTAGATAAAGAGATGTTGATTAAATAACGTGTTTCTTATCCTATGGAATAGAAAAATTACAGAAAGTTAAATACACAACAGTTCTATAATATGTTAATTGGCACTCTCCAGTTAAGTGTGCCCATAAAGGACTCATTATATGGCAAGCATAATGACAGGTTCGAATTGCGTGCCTTTAATAGTAGTCCATCTCGCGTATAATTCGACATTCCGCGGTCTTAATAGTAGGCGTAGATGTAGGAGAAGGAAAAACAAAATCGAATCGCCTTGAGTGGTAGAACCACCTGTGGCCAAAGCGTGATGAATGCTGATTGGCTACCGCCGCTTTATCATTTCCGCGGTACCACGGGTCGCGATCCTCTTTTGTCTCTACGCGCGATTCTTTTGTCTTTTCGGTTGCTGGGAGCTCCTTTTGTTTGTACGAGAATGGTACCGCCGAATGGTTCTTTCAATTACTACGACGTGTCCGATTGTTTTGGTATCGTGGCACCAAATGATCGGCGATTGTTTGTTTTTGGCAGCTGTACCTGACAATCGCGATTGTTGGGACTTTTTGTGTTTCGGGTGCATATTT